TGATTTAGGGTTATAAATGGGTGGAGTTATATCAATTTTAGATAAATCTATCATTCAAATATCGTCAAAATTTAATTAGTTGTATTCGAGTTGTGTATTTTTTTTTTTTATATCTAATTTAACTTAATATAAATATGAATAGGTTGAAATAAATTGGATCAATAGAGTTAAATATAATTAAATTTATTTATTAATTATTTATAATAAATATAAATTATTTAATATTTTATTATAAAGATAATGATATTAATTTAAAATAAATAATAATATAAATTAAATTTTAAAATAAATTTATTAAGTTCAAATAACTAATTAACATTAACATTGATATAAAATAAAGTTTAAATTAAATATATAATATTATTATTATGCTATTAACTAAAAAAATATAAAATTTATTACTCACCAAAAATGACAAAAAATTATTATTTTAAACAAATAATTATCTAAACACTAATTTATTATTATTATATAATTGGATTGAATTAAACTAAATTTAACCAAATACTTAAAAAAATTCAATATAAACATACTAAATCAATTTAAATTAGTTGGAGTTCATAAATTATCCTTACTGACAGACACGGATTCAATAGAGAAGATTTCCATCCGTTTTTTATATTCTTTCTTTGAGACACAAAATCATTGTTTATTTATTTATTTATTAATATTTTTAAAATATCTCACAGTTTTTTAATCCTTTCAAATCAGTTTCCTAACTTTTTAACGTGGTCCGTTTTCTTTACATCACATCCATTCATTTAAATTATTATGAATAAATAATATATTTTTTTACAATTTAAAATATCTTTATTTTATATACTTTAATTAATTATTATATGTTAAACACTAATTTTTATGTTAAATAAAAGTATTTTTAGAGGTTTTCCTCTTTAATTTGTAATTTTTTTTATTCAATTTGTTTTTTATTGATCATAATTAATTATTAATTAAATACTAATAATTTAAAATAAATTATAAATAAATAAAAAATATTATTTTATCACGTGAAAGAATTTGAAATTCTTCAAATAAATGAATTACCCTATATAAATTTCTCATCCAAACACACCATTTTTAAAATATAGTGTGTTTGGATGAGAAATTTATATAGGATAATTCTTAAATTAAATTTTATAAAAATAAATATTA